TAATTACGAAACAAGAAAGAAAGGAAGGAAAGAGATGTTCTTACGGCACACTGAGAGAGGTGGGTCGTAACAAAATGTCTGCTTTTATGAAGTGGCAGAGAACATTTTGCAGGAATTTTCTACGAAACTTGAGAAGTTCTCTCCTAATACTTGAATACGATAACAAGGATTGAATACCATCACATGATCTTAGTCAGAGTTTTCTACCAATAACAATACAGAACATTCTTTCATAAAAGAGTCAGCGAATCTGTAGGATGAGCCCTACCTTGTTCGACATAACTCTTTCTTTCAGAAAAGAGAATATGTCTTATATTATAGATCACTTCATTTTTATTATCTATGTTTATAGTGACAATATTAAAGGAAAAGAAACACAGCTCCGAAACTTGCAAAATGAGCTGAAACAGGTCGATCAACAACTTCGAGAAAAGGAAAATCACCAAACAAAAGTCGAAAATGAGAAAAAACAAACCGAAGATCGAGTAAAAACTTTGGAGAATGAAACTAAAAACTTGAATGGACAATTAGAAAAATTAACAAAAGAACAAACCGATGATGAAAAAAAATTGGAAAATGAAAAGAAAACATTGAACCAATACCAACAAGAACAAAAAACTGAAGAAAAAAAGCAACGTCAAGCTGAACAAGAAGTTACAAATCAAGAGCAAGTGTTAAGAACAGCTGAACAAAAGCTCAGACAATGTCAATTAGAAGAACAGAACGTTAAAGCCGCCGAACAACAAGTTAATACTGAAATACAAAAAGAACAGGCCGAATTAGCTGCGGCTAAAGCAGAACTAGCAGCTGCTGAAGCGGAATTAACTTCAGCCAAAGGTGCAAGTACTGATAACAAATCAGCCGTAGCAACTGCTGAAACTCGCTTAGCAACATGCAAAGCGAGAGTAACTGCAAAACAAACACAGTTCAACACACGTAAAACAACTCAACAAGCAAATACCCAAAATCGTGAGATTGCAGAAAGAAACCGAGCCCAAGCAAATACTGAACTATCAAAAGAACGAAACAGTTTGACGACTAAACAAGAACAAGTGAAACAACAAAAATGTAAAACTGAAGAAATGAAACAGAAAACTCAACAACAAGAACAAAGTATAAAAGCCGCTGAAACAAAACTTAATGATCTACGAAAACAATGTCAAAATGTTTAAAACGAATTGAAAACAAAAGAGAAAACATTGACAAATGAAAAGAGTAATCTTCAAAACCACAATCAACAGCTTGAACAAATAAAAACAGAGGTTAAAAATCTCGGAGATAAGAAAACTACATTGACTAATAATCAGACTCAAATAGAAAGGGAATTGACAAATTTTCATCAAAAACAAGGAACAATTCAAAATGGATTGAGACAAAAAAATAATGAATTACTTAAAATTCAAAATGAAGAAAACACGCAAACAAATGAATTAAGAACACAAGAAACAAATCTAAAACAACAACAAAATGCATTACGTGGAAAATGTCAACAATTAGTGAGAGCAGAAAATCAAGTTGCAAATGCAAATGCTAATATTGCTGTGTGTGATAAATCAATTCAAGAATTAGAAAATGATAAACGTGAAGAAGAAAAAAAATTACGAGCTGCGCAACAAGAAAAAACAAATTGTGAACGAGAACAATCGAAATTCGAAAAAAAATTGGAAGAACTTGAGCGTGATCAAAAGCAATGTGAATCAGATTTGAAACGTTTGAAAGATGAATTACGTACCAAACATCAAACGTTAGATGATAAAGAAGTTAAAATGTCAAATTATAAATCCAAATTAGCACATCTTGCAGACGAATTATCGTCGAAAAAGGATGAGCGTTTAAAAAGACAACAACAACTCGACGATGTCAAAAAA